GTGTGTGGCGGCGGTGGGGACGGGCTGCGGAGCATCCTCGGCGCTCGCCGCCGGGCGCCGTCCCCGCTCCTCGGCCCCCGGCTCGTGGCCGCCGCGCCGGGCCGCCTCCCTCCTTCCGACTCCTGCCTCCTCCCGGCGCAATGTCGTCGCCGTCGTCTGGAGAGCGGTACGAGGAGGAGGAGGAGGAGGAGGAGGGCGCCTACGAGAGCCAGGCGAAGCGGCTGAAGCCCAGCGCCGCCGCCGAGGAGGGCGAGATCGAGTACAGCGGCGCGGAGGAGAGCGACGGCCGGCGGGAGAAGGCGGCGGCGCCGCGCGGCGGCTTCGCGGGCGGGGTGAGGGACGCGGCGGCCGTTGGGGGGTGGGAGGGGGAGCGCGTCCCCTCAGGAGGCCGCGGGCAGTGGGGGGGGGAGGGGGGCGCATGCGAGCCCCGCCCCCTCCCCGGGCGAGGCCCTTCGGCTCGGTTCGGCTCGGTTCGGCTCGGCTCGGCTCAGCTCGGTTCGGTTCGGTTCTGCCCGCGCGGGATGCGCGCTCCGGCCGCGCGGCCTGCTCGGCGTGGAGCCCGCCGGCCGTGTCGCCAGGCCGAGCGGCGCTGCCCCGGGGCGGGGGTCGCTGTCCGCGGAGGCGGTGGGAGGCCCGCGGTGACGCCCGTGCAGCCCCCGCCGTGGCCGGCAGCGCGGGCCCGTGCCGCGCTCCAGCCGCCGCGGGAAGGGGCCGAGCTGGGCGCTCCCTGGCTCCGCGGGTCCGGAGCAGGGCTCAGCCCCGCCGGCCGCTTGCTGCGGTTGGGCTTGTGGCCTCGGCTTCTCCCTGCTTGCCCTGTTGCTCAGGGTAACTATAGAAACGGGAGCGGGAGGAGAGAGAGGCTGAGGGTTTCTTCTATCCTACTGTCCTACTTTCTGCCTCGGGGCAGAAAAGCTCGGCATAAATGACCATTTCCATTTTAATGACCATTTCCATTTTAATTTCGCTTATTCTATGCTTCCTCCCCCACAGCGTTCCCAAATAAGATTGGTCCTCTGATTTTTTTTTAATAATATTATTTGCAGCATACCTTTCATTTATGAATTTATGTCAAGATAGACTGTGATTTGTAGAAACAGATGGAATTTGTAGTAATGCCTTTGTAGCTAGCCAGCTTTTTCTTATGCTTGTATGCTTTGTAATGCTTTTTGTTTCTTAGCTAGCTGGTTGTCCAGGCAGTTGTATTTATTTTTCTTCTTTTGGCACTTTTTCTTTCCGGCTTGAGAAAGATATGATTGAGAAAGCATTGATTGGATGGGAGACCTTGAAATTCAATACCTCTCTTTCGTTAGTTACTAAAAAGAACTGGCTTATGACTGAAATGAAATAATGACAGGAGCGTTGGCTGTTATCGTCTCTCCAAGAGTTAAACTTCTTGATGGAGAGAATGTATCCACTGAATTCTCTAAAGTTCCCCGATAAACTGCAGCAAAGTTGCATCACTGGCGAGAAGGACTTTTAAATCATAGTTTTTTTGACAGGGCATCGGCTCCATTTAGTCAAGGATTAGCAGTATAATGTGTCGTAGTGGCTAGTTCTAAATGAAATCTATGTGCTTGCTTATATTATCTTGGAACTCCTGTCATATAGGAGAGCTGGACATCGTGTAATGTTTACAGCAGGAACAAGACAGTCAACTACCGACTTGCCTTTCCTCTTCTCTGCAGCATTCTAGAAAGTCAGCCAGTTTTTACTGTTTTGCTTATTGATGGATGTTTTTCTTTTTGCCTGCATTTTGGGTTCCGGCTATGGCTCTGATTGTCTACAAGTCAACCCAGTGTATTGGTTCATTCCAGGGCCTGCTGTGCATTCAGGTAAAGAGAACATTGAGACTGTCCCTGGCCTCATGTGCTGATCCTCATGAGCTGAAGAAACTGAAACAGATCTGTAGCTAGTCTAGCTCAGGAGCGTTTTTACCCAGCCTGTTGCATCAATTGCAGTGTGTTGCAAGGAGAAAGATAAGAGGGTTGTTGCTCTACTCGAGACTCCTAGTGCTCTTTGATGGCTTGATGCTAACTCAGCTATCAGAGAGGCAGTAATTACCTTGACAATAGGGACTGAACTAATTTCTTAAGAAAAAGCTGTAACATAAGCAGACAATATGGATAAAGAATGAACATTTCTGTTAATACTTTTATCTGTGACTTGCCATAGCAAAATTCTTCTTTGGAGTTAAGTCACGTGAATTTTGGTTTTTCTTCTGACTAAAAAATTATTTGTGTAGGAATTGGCATTTATATGCCAATCTAAAGCATATAAGATGGAGCCAGGCTGAGACAGGAGGAAAAAATGTATGTTGGGTTGCTAAAAAGAGAGCAGAAAAAAAAAGAATAAGTGAAGGTGAAGCTGAGGAACTACAAGGAGTGGGGATTACAAGCGAGAAATGGGAAAACAAACGGCCAGAGCATGTTCTTACTCTGCTGACGTGTGTCCTGGGATACTGGTAGCCTGTCTGCCTATAAAGGTTTTACAGCCTCTTTGTGTGCCGTGCTTGTGTCCAGGGGAAGAGCAAGAACAGGTCTTACAGCAATAGTTTCTGGGACAGAAACAAGATTTAGACAAAAATGACCCTTACAGAGGCAGTGCTGGGTCATTTTTAAGCCTAGGTAGAAGAGTTGGAATTGGCCTGGAGCAAAGGGTCAAAACAATGGGAGAAAGTGAGATGGGAAGGACATGTATGAGGTCAATTGTAAGGTATCTGGGAGGCCTTCGAGTATATTCTCTCTCCCATGCTTAAGTGGGAGTCTCCCACACGCATATCTATTAACTATTTCTATGAAGTTAGGAGGGGCTAATATTGCTGTTCTTTCAGTTAGAGAGTTGAAACAACTCTCTAAAGTTGAAGAGTTCACTGACTCTGAAGAGACAGAAATAAAGACAAGTTCCTGTAAGTAAGCTAGCGATGTCTGCTTGCAGCATCTCAGCTACTCTGTTGTAATTTCCGATTTAGGATGGTCTTGCTCTGCGGTGAATAGAAAGTAGCTCACATTTCAAGTAAATTATCTCACATCTGTCACAGGAGGCTGCAGGCTTTTTTTTTTTTAAGAAGATGCTCAAATTGTGGTGAGTAGAGAGGCAAAGACAATTTGGAGCTAGCAAAGAGGCCAGAGTAGATATTACTTTCTGTAGCAGGTGTAATTGTTGAAAGGGACATGAGGCGCTGTGGTAGAATTCTGGCAAGATGTACAAGGACAACTGAATACTACAGCTCCCTCCATTTAATCCAAAACGGATGGATACCTTTTCAAGATATGGGATGTGACTGAATTTAAAGCCCTTCTCCTCCCCACTTCTCCAAAAAGCAAATCCAAATCCCAAGATTTGGATCCCAAGATCAAACTTGTATATCCTCCTGCTATGCTTGAGCATTGTCTTTTCGGGTTTGTTTGGGTAAAGACACTGTCTTTAGTTACTTCAGAGTGCTCTAGAAGTTACTGCTGTTGCTTCAGGACTACAGAAAACCCAGATGGCAGGGAGAGAAGCCTCTGCTGGCATGCGGCTTCCAAATTGCTGAAATTGTGGCAGTTGAGTCTGATAGAGGTGAAATTACGATGAGGCAAACTGCTTTAACTGACGCCATCATCATATAGTAAGTACATCCAGTAGTTGAAAAATGTGTAGGAAATGCAGCCTACCTTTTTGCTACGATCTTTCCTCTATTGGGCTCTCCTCAGTGAAGAGAACTAAGATTACCAGGAATGTGATGTGTGAGTTTGCTCTTTCTGGCTACACAAGCGGTAATTTTGACTAACTTGCATTTTCTGTAAGGCAGTTGCATGTAGCCCAGCCCATAGCTAGGCATTAATGAAAATTTAGGCACCTAAATTAAGCAACATTTTGTACATAGGTACGAATTAAGCAACATTTTGGGGCTTTCTCTCCTAGTTCTGATGTATTTATCAAAAAAAAATCAGAATTTGAAAGATGCAGGAAGAGGAAAAAGGTTATTAATAAGGGAACCTAAAAGCTGGAAAAATTACAATATTTTTAGGTGTCTAGATGGGAGAGTATGAAAGAAGAGTGCAATCCATTTGTAGTAAGGCAGAAAAGGGAGATGACGCATGCAAGTAAAGCAAAGAGTGAAGGAGCAGATAGTCAAAAAAGAAACTAATAAAACTAGGGTGAAAATAGTAGATAGAAGGCATCTGAAGAGAATATAAAGAATGGATCTGTGTGTAGAAAGAAATGATGGCGAAAACTCTTTAGAATAGCAAATTTGTTAGGAAGAAACTGGTGCAATATTTGAAGTGTTGCCTAGAAATACGTAGGCCAGCAAAGAATGAAAGCAAAAATTCTACAGCTATTCTTTGAAGCTGCTTCTATTTTAGTTTTATATATATGAAATAACCAAGCATGTAAAGCATAGCACAGTTATATTGATGTTCACCTCCACGCTTCCATTCTCTGAAGAAACTTGATGTCACTATGTTACGTATTTTTATATTGCTAACATCTCTTTTGAGGGGAACTTTTCCTGTCCCTCTGTTACTGGTCTTGCGTGCGTAGGCAGAAAGCTGTTACTGTTACCTGTTTTACTGCATTTTATTGCCCAACTGATGATTCTTCAAGAACTTTTTACCAAAGACCCGTAAACCATTTATACTGATGAGCACAGATGGTAAAATAAGCTAGTCTGTTCTGCTGGTTTTGGCAGAGGACAAGTGTCATGCTGGAGTTTTAAGTGGCATTTCTGCGCCACCATTGAGATGGAATTAATGAGAAACCTCTTTGTAAACGGAAATATTGGTTGTCTTTAATCTGTGTGTGAACTTCTAAACTGCTTGGAGATTGACTTAATCTGCTTTATGATAGATAAGTGTTTAAATTTATCCTCTTATCTCTGTGCCAGCTACATAACCAATGCAGTTTTCAAGATACAAGGGCTGTGAGATCTTGGTGAAAATCCTGTATCTTTCATCTGTGGAAAGAAACAGCAAAAGTGTTTGGATGGAATGTATTCCATCTGACCTTAGCTGCGAATATGCTCTGCATTGACAGATGCTCTTGTTTTTTTTATGTGGTATGGTGGTTTTACTACTCCTCCTTTTAGAGGAAATAAAGGATGCTTCTAGGTTAGATTGCTGCTGCTGTTGGGTAGCTGCAAAGCTTGTTTACATGTGTGTCCTTAAGAGTTTTGGGTATTTTTCGGCGCTAGAAGTACGCACGTGTGGAACATGTTCATGTCTCGCCAACATACTCCTTAGCTAAGGGCTGGCTGGCACTTAGTTTGTTCTGCTGTTTGCTCTTTCTGATTAGGAACGATTTTGAGTAAGGCATGGTAGTTTCTGAAATTATATGATTTAACAATAGAGACCAGGCATGTAGGCAAGCCCTTACTTTCATGGCATATCACTGAGAATTTTTTTCCTCGCCGTACTTCGCTTTGCACTTCTCAAGTTCCTGCCTAAGCTCCTACAACATCAGCAATGTTACTATGATTTTTGAATTCTTGCTATATCTGCTAGAACTAAAGTATGCTTTCCTTGTGGTATTAGGGAGGAAGATACTTGGCTTTTGAAAGATTTGGCTGATCTGACAAATGTTGCCTTAACTACAGAAGAGAGCAAAGTCTGTCTTGGTTGGTGGTTCTGGTCTGTACTCATGTATGTATAGATGCTGGCATACGTGCATTTACCTCATGTATTATGGATTCAAAGATGCATGTATGAAGTGTTTTGTTTTTACGAGAGCAAGTTTGTATTACTACTGGAAAGCTTCATCTCTTGAACAGTCAAATTAAAGGCATGTGACACTCTTCTGAAAATCACAACAGTTCTTATTCTCAGAAGCCCTAAAAACAAATGCAAAGAAGAATATGTAACAAGGCACAAACTGGAGATGGAATGAAGAGGTTGAATGGGGAAGAGAGAAATGTTTCCTTGTGATCCGTTCTCTGAAAAGCTTAACTTGTCGTATATTTAGCAATTCAGAGGTTGAGAATTAGGGAAGGCAGCTTTTTGTATTCAGTCTTTACCTTATTGGGGAAAAAAAATTTTTTTTTTTTTTTTTTTTTTTTGCCATTTGATAGAGATAAATGTGTCTTTTAGGGGAGAATTCTTGAATGTGTTAAAGGAAAAAAGAAAAAGGGAATGTGTGCTCCGAATACAAACCAGAACCTTAATATAGTAACAGGTATTCAGAGGAATAAATATTTGATTTCATAGCTTCTGATTGTTAAGTAAACTGTAAATAAAGTGGACGTGCCTAATATCTGAATATCTTGGAGTACAAGACTTGCAGGAGAAAGTGGTTGCTGCTGTAGTGCTCTTCTGAAGGATTCTGTGAGTCTGCTTTCAGCTTTGAAAAGTGTGTTCCCAAGTAAAGAACAGAGAAGTTGGAAATAAAAATCTGTTTATTTTTGTTCTTTCTGCAATTCCGTAAGTGTCTGCAGCTCAAAGAATTAACTTTTTATGACTAGCTTGTCTACAGCTACGCCCCCCAAATCAGTGAAAAATCAGCAAGATTCAAATCGATAGATCGAACACGTTGATATAACGGCTAATTTGAGTATGTAAACTTTATGCTACACTTGTCTGTATTAAATTTGCGCTTTGTTAATTGCAGTATATTTAGTCTGGCCTTTATTATGCCCAGTTATTCCTTGTTTTTCTTCCATTGTTGGCTTAGATTTTCAGTGTTCTTTTTACTCTTGTCTTAGAATGCTTCAGGCACATTTCAGCCCTGCTTAAGGTTTTGCATGTAGCGATGAATTGACTGAAGCCTGATCTATTCAAGCTTTTTTTTTTCTACAAAAAGCCTTATTTTATTTTTTTTCCCCCCCAACAAAATGTCTGTCTGAAGTTCTCGCAACTCTGGTTCTGAAAATGTTCGTAGGGGAATTTTGACTGGTAGTTTACTATGGCTGAATTGGTTAACATTTATGAGGCATAGGGTGGAAAAAAAAAAAAAAAAAAGAACATGTGCATATGCACAGAAATGGAGAGAGTTTTTTAAAATGTCTATTAAGAGTGCTTTGAGAATAAGTATGGAATGTTGATTTTCTTATTTTGCTTTTACTAGTCTGTGGGACTCAGTTCATTAAGAAAATAAGCAATATTGATACATCTTACTGAAAACCTATGTTGTTCACCTCTCCTCTTTCTTTCCCCCCACTTTTTTAATCCACTTCTGTTTTTGAATGGATGAGATAGAATTGAGTGTTAGAATAGGCTTTATTTTACATCGAAATAGTCTTACTTGGGCAAACGCATAAGCGAAAGTCTTTGTAGATTTAATGGCAAGTAGATTTGAGTAACTGAAATTTGCAGTCTGTTTGAAAAGGAAAGCTATATTTTATATTTTATACAACATATTTGGATCATTTGTGTGGATAGCCACTTTTAGATCCAATTTACTGTCTGTCAAATACTTTATTTAATGATAGCTGTGCTGCTGTATATGCTATATTGATTTCTAAATTTCATTTTTGTTGCTGCTAGGATGCAGGGGGAAGTCATCACAAAGTCTCCGTTTCACCAGTTGTTCATGTCCGAGGACTCTGTGAATCAGTTGTGGAAGCTGATCTTGTGGAAGCTCTGGAAAAGTTTGGAACCATATGGTATGTGAACTGATTACGGATCTTCTAACTGAACTTGTTACTGATCTTCTGTGTAAAGATGCTCTGCTCTTCTTTTTCTATGTAGGTTGAGTTTGAACATGCAGAATTACAGTCTATGTGCCTTAGAATCTAGTAGTAATTAGACTTCAGTGGCACGGCTACTCTTCAAATTTTATATAAGCTCTAGATAAATTGAACTGCAAAACAGTACTGAAGTGGTTGTCTCAGTATAAGTGAATATGCAAGGGATAGGAATGTGCCAGAACAGATGCTGCTGTCCTGGTTTTCACAGTGCTTGTGAAATCTTGTGCTAAGACCTGCAGAATGAGATAGTTTTTCAACAACAGCCCCTTCAGCGGTCAAATTAGAGTGCTTAAATATTTCATTTGATTGTGTGGTCCAAAGATTCCTCGTGTGTAATTGAAGTTATAAACAGGAGTTGTTGGGATTAGTTATCCTGAGCTTTGAGGACCTCATTTTGGAAATGTGCAATTCTTCCCAATTAAAAGCTTAATTGAAGATACAGAGTTTTTGTAAATAGTTCTAGAATGTAGACTATGGTAGAGTTATGCAGGAAGTAGGAAAGTGTATAGCCGTTCTTTTCAGAGGCATGAGGTGAAATCATCATGGTAAAAATATTTCTGCAATTAGATTTTAACTACTTTAAGATTCAAATAACCGCATATATACTAGTACCAGGATTTTAAAAATAAGCACAGGGTTGTTCAAAAATACAAGTTAACTATTTTAGTCTGAGAGGTTTACTTTTCAAAAACCGCTATCTTTAGAAAAAGCATCTTGAATTTGTATGTATCTTATTTTAGATAAGCAGAGTATTTCTGTTTATTTACTGTCTTTTTTTTTATGCCAGAAAAACAATATTTTTTTTAAAAAAAGAAAAGTTAGCTACAAGGGTATTTAGTGTAATATACCAACTTTTTTTTTTTTTTTTTAAACTAGTTTGCATTTTGATCCTTTACCTCATAAATTTCTTCGGCAAATTTAATTTTCTGCATTGAAATTGAAGCTCTGAAAAGTTAGTAGGGAAATAGATAGTTGCATTGTTGGAATGTTCTCATGTATTAAACTTTTTCAGAAAAACAACTGTTTGTTGCTTATTTTTCTTATTGATACAATTCCTTAATCATTTTATACAAATATTCTAGAAAGAAATAACTAGGACTGAAAAATGGGTGTGGGGAGACCTAGTTTTCCTTCATGTCTTCATTTGGAATTGCTGAGAAAAATAATGCTCATATCTAACAGTTATGGATTTTTGGAGTTGTTTGAGCAAGCATTAAAGAGTGTAATATTGTACTATTACAATTGTAGTACAATTACAATTATTGTACTGTTTCTCTTACCAGCTATGTCATGATGATGCCGTTTAAGCGACAGGCTCTGGTGGAGTTTGAAAACGTAGAAAGTGCCAAGAAATGTGTAACATTTGCAGCAGATGAGCCAGTATATATCGCTGGACAGCAAGCCTTTTTCAACTATTCAACAAGTAAAAGGATTACTCGGCCAGGGAACACTGATGACCCATCTGGTGGAAATAAAGTTCTCCTGTTGTCAATTCAGAATCCTCTCTATCCAATTACAGTGGTATGTTTCTTCTTAATATTAAACAAAGACAGGGCAATCTCTTTCCATATTACTTCTGTTTTGTACTGTTTGTTATTTGCTGCTTATCAGGAAGCAGGGGTCAAAAAGTACAGGTTCCTACCAAAGTTTAAAACCATCCTCTCATGAGTATCCTGCAAGTTTGAGTCTGTCCTGTTGCTGTTGTTGTTCACGGGTATTTGGCAATATATTTGAAGACTTCAGAGGTCAGCGTTTTGAAATGTTTTAAGTTGCTACATACTTCCGCAGTATTTCCAAGTGTGTTGCCATAATAGGAAGGTCATCTAGCTTTCAGGCCCTGAGGAATAAGTTCAATTTATAGCACATGGCAATTTTCCAGTAAGAAGGGTTACTTTATTATTTTCCTTCATTCTTAAATATTTCCTTTGTGCAATGTTGAAATTTTGTGTTGATGACCAAATCCAATTTGATGGATTCTTCATCTCTTATTCTGGGCTAGTACTTCTTAGCTTTCAGTATTTCTAGTCATGCCATATATACAGTTGCATCCTAATTTAGTGTCATCTGTTCGTGGTACAGATGCTTTTTTTTTAACTTCTACTGGTATTTAAGAATGTGTATTTTCTAATTCATTGGAATATCTGCTTGTATTTTCTGTAAAGATTTACACTATACGCCATTGAATTGCACAGGAGTATTTCCGAAAAAAAAAAAAAAAGTATATTTATTGGCTTCATTATTGTTGTACTGTAGTATAAGCAGAACTTAGAGAAAGGAGTCGTTATTGGGCAGTTTAGATGATTCCAAGGATTTAATTTGTGTGGAACCATGTAACTCAATGCAAGTGTTAAGCTATGTGTGTGCTATGTAAGCAAATGGACTGCAGCTCAGTGTTCCTGATATTGCTTAATTTGACAAGCAATCCATTCTGTATCATGCTTCTTGCTTTACTGCTTTGTGAGCACAGATATGTTTTTCTCTTGTTAAATCATCAGTGATGGCGCCTTTTATTTCTTGATTAGCTTTTGAGAAGCATGGCAAATATGTGAGTTGCTTTTTCATCAGTGTTTAAAAATATACATGCTTTGAGCTGTGTAAACAAATCCATTAACTAATTTAAAATACTCCCTGCATGTGACTGTATTTTGAATTTTGAAAAGTGGGTTTTGTGCAGCAGCATGAGTTTTGTGGGTATCTCTGTTCGCTTTGTGAAAACAACTGAGCCTTACCAGGATGCCTGCAGAAAATTCTAATATCCAAATCGTCTTACAGGGTCAGGGTAGGTTCACGGGAATGCTGAGGCTTCAATTGTAGAGTAGCTACAAAAAAACCCTCCTCTTCCCTGATGCTCCCAACTGTTTGGAATGTATCAACGAACAACAAATGCAGATGGATTTGGGAAACTTATTGCAAGCATCAGAGCTCATCAAAGACAGTTCAAATGAGTCAAGGCTGTCACGCTACCTGTAGCAACTTGGAAAAGTAAATGCACCCATAGAAAGTAGGAATATTTATGTAAATGGAACAAGGGAAATAAATCTTAGGCTTGGCCAATAGGTCAATCTTTGCTGTCTTTTCAGGCAAACCTCTGCTGTTGCCTGTTAGTTCTTTCCTCTAACCCTTTCCTACCAGCACAAGGAACGTGGTGGAAGTGCTTTACCTACTGAACTGCCCACCCCTGAAACTAAGTTGCTTTTGCTTTTTTTGTAGATACTCTACAGTATAAAGTATATCCATTATAGTGCTGGATAAAGCCAGCACTAAATCTTTCTTTAAAATGTACTTCTGCATGACTGCATTTTGAACACTTGGTTGATTTTTAAAATTAATGTGTTCTGGAGCTAGGAAGTGTTTGGGACATTTCAAGCAGGAAGAGATGGAGGCCAAGTGTTTGTGCTACTGCATATGAATAAAATGTATATATCTTATAGATAACCCTTTTTGTGGGTAAGGGGGTATTTGGTTTTCCTTGCAGCACTGAAAATAGTTTTGAATTTTGTGATTTCTGTGATAGTCTAGGGAAGAGCTGGTGGAAGCAAAACTCGACCAATGCATTTGCATGAATCTTGTGTTTACTGTCAGCAGTTTTCCCGGCCTTAAGGAAAGAAACCCTTCAGCCACTTGCAGTGTCTTTTGGTTCCCAGTGACTAGAACTGAAATTCTGCCTTTGATAGCTATGTTTACGTTTTGGTCTGCCCAAGGCTACTTTTCTGCAAAAGAACAATTGGAAAAAAAAAAGGGGGGGGGAAGCACCCCATCAGTCTTACAAAAGGAAGCAGGCCATAATCATGATTTCACATTGGCATTTGTGCTTTGGCAATACTTTGTCTCGACTCTTCAGTGAAAATTTATGGGGCTAAGTGCATGCTTAAAAAGGAACGACAGCTCGAAGCATGGATGTAATTCCATGGTTTTTAACACTATTAACATCGAAGACCTTTGTCCTTAACTTTTGAGTGCTTAACATGGAAGATTTTTCTTTCCAGGCTTTGACTGTCTGTGATGCAATAAATTAAATCATAAAAATGATAGTCACAATTGTTTGATTGTAGAGAGAAAATGATAAATTAAAAGGTAACAAGCTTTTTCTTTGGCCTTAAGTGCCAGTGAAATAAATGTTCTGTGAACCTAATATGCTTGAAATTTCCTATCATAAATATTAAAGTATTTCCTACTTAAATATTTGTCATCTTTCCCTAGGATGTCTTGTATACTGTGTGCAACCCTGTTGGAAAAGTTCAGCGCATTGTTATATTCAAGAGGAATGGAATACAAGCTATGGTTGAATATCCTTTTGGATTTTTTTCCTCCTGTAGGAGCTCAGTTGCAGATGGGATTTAACATGAAAATGTTGACACCATTGTATTTCTGTAAAACCGGTGCATCTAAGTGCTATTTTACTTTAAGTACATGATAGAAATTACAAGGTCTTGTATATCAAAAAGAGGTCTCAAAATTGCATGGTGTAATCCTAAGACTAATAGTTGTGGGCGTGAAATGTTTCATGGATTGAACACAGAGCACAGAGAGTTTTATGGTTTCTGCCTGTGTTCATTGGGTGAGGGCACGTAAAAGTATGGTCTGACTTCTTTAAACTCTATAATAGCTATAGTGCTTATTTTTGTATTCTGACTTAATGAAACACGTGACTAGCTTAGGCCTCCTTGACCTATTTATCATGTGTTGAGGAAATTTGTCCCTTCTATTGTGGTGCTGTTTATTCTGTTTGTATCAGTAAGTCATACACAGGACGCATGTTCAGAGCTGTTAATGTGTTACTGCAGTTTGCAAGGTCCAAAGTCTCTCCTCATTAAGCCTTAGTTTACAAAACTCCAGTAGACCATTCTGATTGCCCTCCTATTTGTATACAACATTTTAGGGAAGTTTGTATACAAATCTCATACAATCTTTATTGATTTCAGCTACTGTCAGTGTGGCCAGCTGTATTGGTACATTTTTGTGACATACTTAACGTAACCATTGGCTTCATTGGTTTGTTTTTGATTTGGTTTGGGTTGTTTTTTTTGGCCAGAAACGAAGAATTGCCCCAACTTTCACAAATGCAAACTAATCACTCTTATTTGTGCAAAAGACATAAGCTATACGGCCCAAGAGACAGTGGTTTGACTTGCTGTGATAGTGTTGCAAATCTGTGGCCAGCGCTCTTTGCTTCAGATGACTTTTGGTACAGCCAGGGAGCTGTTCCCTGCCGTGTTGTGAAAGCTTAGGGAAGTTGTGGGAGAGGCTCCTGTTTATGTACTCTCTTAAAATCGACCTCTTGTGCCTCTTCTTTGGATTGAAATGTACAGTGTGCCTTTTAATAAACAAATGAACAAAAATATACAGTGGTTGAAAGAAACCTCTCAAATGTGAGCAGAGTAATGCAGCAGTACAGGTGTGCAGGTTGAGGGAGGAAAAAAAGCCATAGGGGAGCCTCAGGATGCACCTTATCTGAAAGGGTCGCCACAATATTAGTGTCATTACTAGTTGCCATGCTCATGGCTTTTGCAGAACTTGCTCTTGCAGTTCTAGCCAGCTTCTAACCTTAGAGGTTCTGAGGACTTAATTCTTCTTATTTTTTATTTTGACAATCTCAAGGCATCTGAACACTTCCAGTGTGGGTTTCCGTGTTGGTGGAGGAAGCCGGGCCATGTTGAATATAGAAAATACAACAAATATTGTATTGATGGGGAATACTTTCAAAATGTCACTAAGTTATATCCAAGGATGGCATGAGATGCCTGGCCTGCTGCAGGATTCAAGCTTTGGGGCACTACTGTGCTATTAAATATGTATGGGACCATGGATTGCCCTGCTCCAAGGCTCTTTGTGCTAAAGCACATTTTTATATTTCTAGTAGAATTGGTGTGGGAGTATATAGAGGATATGAAATAACTTACATGTTGGGCTTTTGATCTATGCATCTGCTTTGAGCAGTGCATTTAAGCAAACTCCAAGCAAACAACTTGTATTTTTGATACAAGATCTTTTGCACACGCCTGGAGTGTTTGTCTTTCGAAAACCGCATAGGCTTGCAGCATAAACAAAGCGTGCATCTATATAATACACCCCTAAAGAACCTATTTCTGTATGAATGGTGTCATCTTGCACCACTTACATCTCAGAAACAGATACTTGAACGTAAGTTAAGCCTGAGAGCTCTTGGAAACATTTCTGTGCCTACCTACTTTTAAGTGCGTCTGTTCAGAGTGGCTATAAGGTGTGGCCATGGCAAAATACCTGCAGGCTACAAAAACAAAACCATTTTAGAGCAAAAGAGTGCATGATGGAGAAATCTGGAGAAAAGAAGTATCCTTAACATGATGTGTATGTTTGAATCAGTGTTTTGTGCCCAGAAGGCGAAGGCTGCACTCAACGGAGCAGATATCTATGCAGGATGCTGCACGCTCAAGATTGAATATGCAAGGGTAATGCTTGGACCTTCTCTCTTAATTTTACTCATGGTACGCATATAGTCCCGACGTAACTTTTTTCCCACTTTTACTGTTTTTGAACAGCCAACTCGACTTAATGTCATTAGAAACGACAACGATAGCTGGGACTACACTAAACCGTACCTGGGCCGCCGAGGTAGGTGTTCGTACGTTATCCCCGTGCGTGTTTGCCCGTGCTAAGCGCAGCCCTTCGCGTGCGGTCAGGCTCTATCGCAGTAGGCATTTCCGAGGCTGTGTAACCCGGCGCGTTAACCCTGAGTCCTAGTGCCCCCTACTGCCGTGTGCTGAGCCCCTGAGCTCAACCAGGAGCCCACACCTGCAAGCACCTTCGCGGTTCTCAAGGACTCGCATTTCTCCAAGCAGCTCTCTCTCTTTGGAGGAGAGGAAACCTGATGCAGACTATTGCTTGCAAACTACAAACTCGCACACTGCTTCTCCTTGGAAAGGACTCTTTTGGTTTTGTTTTTTTTTGTTTTTTTAATTTTTCCCCTATGCTGGACAAGGCATTAAGAAGGATAGAGGACTTCAGCAGGCTGACTCTACACTTCATCATGCACCACATCGGCATCAGCAAAAAAAAAAAAAACTAAAAAAAAACCAAAAGCCAAACAAATAATTAAAAAAAAAAGCCCTCTGAAAGACCTCAGACTTGCAATTCACCTTGTCTGCATACTGCATGCACCACCACCACCACAAGTTTTTAAAGGAGGACACTTTCAGTACTTCAGATTTGTATGGGATCAATAATACGATAGACTGTACCCGATCTGTTCAAATTTGTATGTATGCTGGTCTTATTTCCCTTAAAATTCCAAGTGAAAGAATGAGACTTTCCAAAACTAAGAACCTCTCTGGTTGATATTACCGACATTGTTGTAAATGTTTTATTGTTTGCTGTATGTGAGAGTTGAATTCATTCTTAACAGTGTAAATATTGTCTAGTTATAGGTAACCTTGATCCTTAACTGTAGGTAGTTGGGACTGAGCAGTACAATATCAAATAGGTCCCCTCAGTTATATTTAAGTATTTGAAACAGGGAGACACATAGTTGGTCTAGTATTGTCTCTTAAGTACTCAGCTGTAAAAATTACCCAGAGCTTAACTTATGTTAGTGAAAATTATGCCTATGCATGTGAAGATAAACTGCTGGGTTGCCTGACACTTGCGAAGTGCTCATCTTTTTTAAAAAAAAAAAAAAAAAGAGAGAGAGAGAGAGAGGAAAAGAAAATGTAACTATTGAGTGCAGTGTTCTATAACTTATGTACAACCGTGTTTGCAATGTAAAGTTAGATAAGTGAAGACAAAGTGTCTAAGACAGAATATATATCAAAGGCTATCTGAGAGCCAGGCCCCTGGCTGTTTCCTGTGACGTGCACTTTCAGAGTAATTCTGTAGAGACGCTGGTCTTGTAAAACTGTTGTACAACTAAAATTGCAGGTTTTGAATTTTCAAAACAAAAGTTCTTGTAAAAGGTTAACAAGGGAGCTACAGTATTGGTTGCAGTTTAGAGAATATGCATTCAATTTTTCCCTCAAATTCCAAAATGAAGAAGAGACTTTGAAGAAACTAAAAGGCAAGAAAAAGTCTGAAAAAAATAATTGGACTTGTGTGACTTTTGGGTGCTGCAGTGTTTTGAGATTGAATTATACCATCATGCATCTAATTTCATTAAATAATTGGTCTGCAGATAGATATGGCTGTATGAACTAGATGTTCCCTGAGCAAAACAAACAACAGTGGAAAATGAAAAACTCAACATAGGTGCAGTTTGCTTTTTCTCAAGAACTGACGCTACTCTTTTCCTTTTTTTCTTACTCTGAGAGCTTCTCTCTCTTCTCTGCACATGACTTCACTATAAGAAGAAAGGCACGAGATTTATATTGAAAGGGATGAGATATTATATACTATGATTTTACTTTTAATTGTGGCCTGAAAAAAAAGATAATATGAACAATTGAGCGAACCATAAAATATAGTTGAGAAAGCAGATATTTAGAGCAGTTACATCCATGGATTCTTCCATCAGTGTTTTAGCATTTTCCCTTCAACTTATTCTTGCAGCACTGTTATTGGGCCTCAGAACTTTGTCTGACTGACTGGCAGCGTTCTGACTTTGGCAAACAAAATCTCGGCCCAGAGGAGTTTTTATTCTGAGGACAGGCAGGCTAGTACTCCCTTTCTATCAATAAAAGCTCCCAAATTTGTTTCTTTCGGTGGTAATTACCAGTTTACTCAGCTTCTGTATTTCCCCTAGATTTGTCATGGTGCTCTGAGGCTCAGGATTCCAATTTATTAATTAAAAAAAAAAAAAAAAGAAAAAAAAAAAAAAAAAGGCTAAGAAAAGAAAGATTTTTATAAAACAACCTTTCAAGGTTATTTTTAGTATAAATCAGGCTTTAGATCTGCTTCACTGCTTGCTTGTGCAAATATTTGTACTGGCACCATCAGAGACTTATTTCAAGGAAGAAAAAAAAAAGAAGAAAGAAAAAAAAAAAAAGGCTAAGAAAAGAAAGATTTTTATAAAACAACCTTTCAAGGTTATTTTTAGTATAAATCAGGCTTTAGATCTGCTTCACTGCTTGCTTGTGCAAATATTTGTACTGGCACCATCAGAGACTTATTTCAAGGAAGAAACAAGTGTGGAGAAAGGAGAGGGCAGTGGACTGCGCTGCCACCAGGAGGAAATATTTGTTAAACAGAGCTCTCCTAGCACTTCTTATTCCAAGGTTCCAGTCTTTCACTGTGCACACTTTCATGGGATCAGCATTATGGGCTAGAATTACAAAGCTGATTGCATACAGTGTAGGTGCTCAAATTAACCAGTAAGGGTGCCCATCCACTTTCCCAAGCTAAGAGATTCAGGGCTATCACCCTAAAAGGGAAATGGCAAACAGAGCTTGATTAAATTGGAGAATCAATTGCAGATAAAATTGCTTTTCTTTCTGGATGTTTGAAAGCAGTCAGTGCTCATCTCTCTTTAAGCTCTATTGCCAGAGTAATTGTCTGACTTGCTTAAAACCTGTCCTCAAAATCCTGAGGAGAAAAGGCACATGGGTTTTCATCTCCCACTGTGTGTTATTTAATGTGAATAGTTCTTGGTTTTGGAGGATGTATCTCCAGCTGCACTGGGCTGGAGATGCCATTTTCAGCAGTCATATTTAATGATTGGAGAAACTGTTGCAAATTGAGTAACTTGCCCCACATTTTCAATGTGGCTTTTCAAGAACAGATTTAAAAATAATAATAAAAAAAAATATATATATATATGAAAATGATTTGCTGCTTACCACACACACCCAAAAAAGTTCAGATTTTCTTTGCCATGCATTATGTATTAATTAGAAAACACTGCTTTGACTACGATGCACTGCTTTTCTCCAGTAATGTAGACCCCTTGCTTAACTTTATATCATAGAGAACTGGGTTTTCTTAAAGGATTGACCATTGATTGAGTGCATTATTCAGTGATGTTTTTTTCCTCAATTAACCTGTTTTATGCTGCTGATAATGCAAGAATGTACAATCCTTTCAGCACGCCCTTAAATCAGTAGGTGTTCTGTAAATATATATGTACACGTATGTAATGCTCTCTGTTTACTGATTATGAAACCATGTAATACAGGTTGTTGTTGGCTTATGCTGAAACTTCTTGAAAGAAGCCCACTTTGAAAATGTGTTGCTGTTGAAGCTAATATTATGATTCAGGTACTGTCTTTCAAAAGTACTGCATTTCAAATTTGTTTTAAGAGACACATAGGTAAATCCTGCTGTATGGTGTTACCTATAATAATGTGTGATGTCTTTTTAGGAGAACTGTTGGGTGTTTCCATAGACTTTAAATGTCAGCATCTCTTCATTGGCCATTATCCCATTCCTCCCCTAATCAACTTAAGTGGTATTTATTATACGGATGAATCTTTTAATTTTGGTGTCCCAGGCTACAGCTTGTGATTTTTAAACATATAACGAATGAGAAACTGCTTATAAAGTTAACAAGGACTGAAATTACTGTTTCTTTTGCCTCTTAAATAGAAGCATTGTGTCTTACTTGAGAAATCAAGTGCATACTTGTCCATATTAAATTGTTTTCTTTTCCTTCCCACATATTAGACAGAGGGAAGGGCCGCCAGAGGCAAGCTATTTTGGGAGAGCACCCATCATCCTTTAGACATGATGGATACGGTAAGTAACATAGGATCACAGGTGGCAGTAACTTCTGCACATGTTACGTGGAATTCCAAATATCTAGTCAATGCATAACCATAAATCTCTCTACAGCATGCATAGTTCAGTATTATGCTATACATGTGGTGCTGTCAGGCCATATTCTAAAAATGCTAGTGATAGATGGAAATCCATAGAGCTGTTATTACAGTAACATTTTTTTCATGGGGAGAGCATCAGGCTCTACAATTGTATCCTTTGAAAAATGTTTTTGTCAGCTGCAACTGCTGTAGGCAATGGGTAGAAAGTAACATCTGCGCTGCAGAAAGCAGCTTTCTTCTCGAAAATCCGAGGCAGCTTGATAAATGATTTAGGGCAACCCACAGCTCTGCAAAGTCTTTGCCTGCAAAGCTACCAGTTGTGTGCTTTGTGTTCCTTTGAGTGTAGCTCATGTTGAAAAGTGCAGCCACGTCCCTATATGAGATGTTTTAGAATTAACTGCTATGACTTTGAGGTGGCAAGCGATGCAGTTGTTAGCTGTGCTATCTGCACGGAAAGATCTGCCATCACTTTCACTTAGTGGAAATCAGGACAGCTTCTGTTTGCAATACTGGTGAGGTTTTAAGTGCTTCTGCTTTTTACAAATGAGCTGTTTGGTGACAAGTCTTCTGCAGATGTGACCGTAGAGATGGCTGTTTATTTTAAATATTTGGTTTTGATGGCTTTATGTTTAATTTTTTGGTAGATACTGGGGGACAGATTGTTAAGCATACTTTTGGGCGGGGTACAACCTGCTCCTCAATCAGTCATCAAAATGCTTAGTGAGATGCCTTTTCTGGTCTTCTATAAAACAATACTATGAAACATCTCTCTCCTTCCATTTTATTATAAGACTCAAAATATTAAAGGGAAGAGATGAAGTCTTGTTTATTACAACTAGAAAGAGTTAACAGCATTGCTGTAGCTTTGTTTTTGTTGTTGCCTGCTTTAATTATGCATTATATATGTGGGCTTCAGTGCATAATTAAGTAACGAAACTTGCATTTCAAGTAGCATGAAAACGTGATCTTTAATTCCCTTAGGGTCGCACGGTCCTTTATTGCCCTTACCGAGCCGGTACCGAATGGGATCTCGTGACACTCCAGAGCTCGTTGCTTATCCATTGCCCCAGGCATCGTCCTCCTACATGCACGGTGGGAATCCTTCTGGTTCGGTTGTCATGGTCAGTGGGTTGCATCAGCTAAAGATGAACTGCTCAAGGGTCTTCAACCTGTTCTGCTTGTATGGAAACATTGAGAAGGTGAGATATCCTCCATAAGAAGTTTAGAGGCTGCTGTACTAAAGCCACATTTGTCAATCTAGTTGTTTTGGAAAAGACATGGTTCAGATGATGTAAAAATATTTTTTGACAACATGTAAAATTGTTACTTGTGCTGTTCATTGCGTTGTCATTTTTTCCTCATCTGCCTCAGGTGAAATTTATGAAGACTATTCCAGGCACAGCACTGGTTGAAATGGGTGATGAATATGCTGTAGAAAGAGCTGTCACGCATCTCAACAATGTCAAATTATTTGGAAAGAGGCTTAATGTCTGGTAAGTACTTTGTTTATTACATTAATAGTCTGACGAAAGGTTCTGAGGTTGCACAGGGAAGGTATCCCATTGCTTTGTCATCACTGTCACAGTGATGATTTCCTATTTGCAACTACTATTTGTATTCTGTATACTCAAAAAAAATTGACAGTTGACCATTGCAGTAAAAAATTACATTAATAACGTATATAGGCATTATCTAGCTTGCCTATTAAGACATGTTACCGAATGCAGTTTTTTGCACTTTCCATGGCTTTTAAGGAAGGTATCAAACCCAGCTCATCTTGTTCTCCTTTTATTTCAAGTTGTTGAAAAGAAATGTCAGCTCTGTTCCAATTCCATGAATATTTTGTGGGCAAAATATGCAAGTCTTCACTGTTTAAAAAACTTCAACTGTATCTCCTTAAATCCCAGTGTTTCCAAACAGCACTCGGTAGTTCCAAGCCAGATATTTGAACTGGAGGATGGCACAAGTAGTTACAAGGATTTCGCAATGAGTAAGAATAATCGCTTCACCAGTGCTGGCCAAGCATCTAAGAACATCATCCAACCACCGTCTTGTGTGCTGCATTATTACAATGTACCGCTGTGTGTTACTGAAGAAACCTTTGTAAAGGTAGGCAATTGAAACAGCTGCTCTTCTCTCCCACTGTGTGTCCCCCCAAAATAAAATTGGTGATTTGTTAATGTGCTTTGTTTTGGGGGGGGGCGCGGGGGGGAAATCTTGTAGAACAAGAGCAAGACTACAGTCTGTGAGAGACTTACTGGATCCATGAGATTGTTTCTTTAATGATTGCTATAAATTCATGGAAACTCTCTTAAGGAGCCAGTGTTTCCTTTTATATCTCTTCTAGGAAATGTTGGCATTTTTGCAAATAGTGCTTGTGTGCGCTTTTATTGGAGTTTTACTGTTTATTTTATTTTTGTGGCAGTTGTGTGAAGATCACGAAGTTCTCAGCTTTATTAAGTACAAAGTGTTCGATCCAAAACGTAAGTAAACTTGACCTATTTGAGGTGCTTTTCAAGCCTGGCAGTGGAGCTTACTGATACCATTTCTCCTCCTCCTTTTTTTTTTTTTTTTTTTTTTTTTGTGTGTGTGTGTGTGTGTGTGTTTTGTTTTGTCTTGTTTTTCTTCCCACTCTGACAGCCTCTGCCAAAACACTTTCTGGTCTGTTGGAATGGGAATGTAAGACAGATGCAGTGGAAGCCCTCACTGTACTTAATCACTACCAGATAAGAGTACCAAGTAAGTCAGTCTTGCTGGGTTTTTTTTCTCTCATTTATAAAAGCAAACTTTTTTTCTTCTTTTGTATTATCTTTGCTGTAGAACATGAGGCTTCAGTAGCCCATCTCTGCAGCTAAAAAGCGTTTTATTTACTTTATGTGTATATGTATATATCTTTATATAATATTTATGTGTATATATAGCATAGTATGTAATCCTCTATGGTACACTAGGGTCAAGCTAAATGAGAATTTTCCTCACTTTTGAGTCAACCTGTAAAAATCCAATATGTTTGTGGATTTTTCTCCCTTTCCCTGTCTTCAGAAAGAAGGAAGGCAGGAAAAGAATTGCTTAAAAATCCACTGTCATCAAAATAATATCTAATGTATAACAAACTGATCAAGCTTTATAAAGCCTCTCACAGTGATTGCAGAGAAATCTGAAATACATTTGGTTAGAAGAATCTGAAAATTTTCAACATGGAAAAAAAAAAAAAAAGCCATACAGCCACGTAGCATCAAATGGGATTACATGTTAAAACAAGGGAGGCTTCCTTACCCGTCTGTGGCCTTTTGCCTTTGCCAGATCATCGAAGTTGATTAGAAGGGAGGAGGGGCACTTATAATGGTGGAATGTCCTTTAATTGTGTATAGCTGAACAACTGAAGTGCCATCCTTATTCTCTTGTGATGAAATCCGTCCCTTTGTTTCTCTGCATAATTAAAGATGTCTATGAGACTATTAAAAGACGATTAAATGACTATTAAAAAAAGCCCCCCCCCCCCCCCCAAAAAAGTCAGTGTGCAAGATACCTTAATCGAGTGTTGCGGAGTGCATTTTATTGAGTATGTTCTTTTGTCTCCTGACAGATGGCTCTAACCCTTACACCTTGAAGCTTTGCTTCTCTACTTCATCCCATTTATAGAGAAGAGGACAGCATGTTAAGAGCTGTGTTTGCCTCAATTTGCAAGTCTGAAACTACACTTCATTCACAAAGCTCTAAAGTGGTTGCTCTAATGTTGCCTTGTTTCAACTTAATTCTAATATCTTATCTTGTTTTATAATAAATGGATGTTCCTTCATAAATATAAAACAGATTTTTTTTCTCTTTGCCTCTGAGAAGTACATGTTGTAAGCTAGCTACTTGCATTTCATTAATGTAGTAACTTCAAAAGTCTAAAGACCAATAACATAGTGTACATTCAGACCCTAAAATGTCAATAGTTTCCTTCAAAAAATGAAATTTATTTGCCTTTTTGATGTTGAAGATTAGCAAGTATTTTTCCATTTGTAGTTTTAATTGTCTGATTACATCAGAATTTTAAATGTAGAACTTGTTTTTCAGTAAGTTGTGAAGTATGCTGCAATAAATACTAAAAAGCTTGTATTTATAAAATGCTTAAATCAGGTTGATGGTGCACATACTGAATTTTTAGTATAGACTTATATTTCAAACAAAGCTAAGGTAGAAAAAAATAAGTATGTACACGTGTATAGTGTGAATTCATACTTATTTAAAGTGGTTTGGTTTGTTTTTTTAAATTGCATTTGCATTAGCATGATGCCATCTATAGCTAGTCCCACCGTAGGGGCCTTTCGGAAATTAAAATTGGAAGCCTGTGTCAGTGTGTTCATCCTCATTTCCCATAACTTAAATCTAAATCTTGGGGTTTATCGTATTCTCTTGACTTTTAAAATATTTATGACTTAGTAAATGTTAAGAAATGGATATGTGAGAACAGAGAATTGATTGCAACAGAACAAACATGTAAACATAGCTAAAGCAAAAGACGCAAGCCCCACCATACTCTCTCATAGCTGGACTGTTGATTTGAATGATACTTAACATTTATCAGTGTTTTATTTCCTTTTGCCTGGTTTTATTCCACTCCTGTGATAAAAAGATGCATAGGGTGAACAGACTTGGCTTGCCTCTCACCCTATAGGAATATATTCCCACCTATAGGAATCCCACCTGTAATAGGTGGCTAACATGCTTCTCACGACTCTTATGTAATGCAACTAAATGAGAAATATTTTGGGGAAGATGCTTTGTTTTGTCCCTCAATTCTCTGTTACAGAGCTGGAGTTGGTGCTGTCTTAGTCCCAAATGGGAATACAGACATGACAGTTTGGCAGCAGTTTTCCATGTTTCCTCCCCTTTCAGAACAGGCAACAAAAGTGTTCAATGCGCCTTCCCCACCCCCCCCACCCCCAAATTCTGCTTTTAGTGGTCAAAGAAAATCTACTTTTTTGGCCGTTTAATCTTGCAGCTTTATCCCGTTTTCTTTGTTCCTGTCTTCAAGTGCAGGATTATTCATGCAGGTAAGCTTGCCTTTGAAGGGAGTGTGTTGCAGCCTGTTTGCAGATTGTGGGTATTGCACACAACTTTAAATACAGACTAGACTTTCCCCACTTTTAATTTCAAGGTAGAAACACCTAAGCAGACACGGGCACATGAGTCATCTGTCTTTCAGGTTTTCCAGCCAGCAGTGATTCAGCTTCGTCCCCATTTTGCTCCCGCTCTCCTCGTAACGAGTATTTCTGCACTTCATGCTACGAACACGTCTGTCCAGGGAGCCGTGGGATGGCTGCACAGTGCTTGGCAGCCCTCATTTCACGTTGCCTTCTGCATACAATTTGGAGTATTAACGGCAGGCTTGCTTTTTAAGGGCCCTTTCTTTCAGCCTTGCTGCTTCTGCCTTGGAAATTCCTTCCAGAAGGCTCCAGTCTAGAAGGCTATGTGCCGTCCCTTGCCACTTGCCAAAGGAGAGGCTGGGTACTCGTGAAATGTCCCGTGCTGCCACCGTTCTGACTGTAAAAGGTCTTTTCCCAATCATTTATTTTTCCTTTAGCTGCTTGAATGTTCTGTGGAAACATGTTTCTCTTGTCACAGCTTGCATTGTTACTAGTATTAATGTAATTCAAGAAGTCAGAAATTTCGTAGTTAGATATTAAAAATAGTCATGTTACTGCTGGTCCTGTTTGGGATGTAGGATGAGTGACCCTAAAACATTCAGGTTTTTATAGAAAAGCACTTTAACGTTACCATATCCTCTGGGGAGGTGTCTAAGGTGTCTTGGTGAAAGGCATCTTTCCCGTGGCTCAGACAGAGACAGAGGACAGGCTAGTTCTGGGCGTATCTGAGAGGATTTTCCGTCAACTGGAGGTCCCTGTTCTCAAGTGAGAATAGCCTGCACCACATGGGGAAGAGAGGAGACTGTGAAACAGTTTGTACTTCTTTCTTCTTAAAACAGTCACGTTCCTGATGTGTTCCTGAGAAAGCTGAGAAGAGGAACGATGGCTTGTTAGTATTTTGCTGCAAAAAGCAAGTATGTTCCCCTGGGCTTCGATGTGGGAAGGAATTATGCTGGTGGTCTCCTCCCACGATCATGGGCTGTGTTCCTCTGTAATCGTGCTCATTAGGACAGAGCCCAAATAAGTGGTGGTTGACAGCGACCACTTGGAACATTTGCTAGTGTAGATGAAAGCACTGAGGTCTCTTGATGCAATTTTTCTGTCCCTTTTGCATAAGCCATATGCTCAAATTAGTCAACATTGCTATGCAGATTTCCTGTGCATAAGCAGTTCACGTTCACATTGTAATATAGTCATGACATTGTGGGGGTTATTTTTTATTATTTTTAAGAAAGCCTTTTTGTTTTTCCCCTAATGGACCGCTTTTCATTGGAGGTAAATGATATATTGAAGTTGAGATCTTCTGGTTTTCCATTATACCCTAATCTATTTGCTTTATTTATTTTCCCATATATGAGGAAGAAGTGGGAAGAGTTGTTGCTTTTTCACTTTCTATACCACCACAGTTAGGTAGGTAGAATGTGTTGCTAGGGTGATAGAAGAAAGGATATAAAAAAAAAAAAAACCTTTTAGGGAATGTTCGGGTGTTTTGCTGTGTAAAAGGAATGATGCAATTTTCATGTGGTGTCACTTAAGTCTGTCTTTCAGTAAGGGATAATGTTTGGGGTAGGCTGGCTTGTAACTGCCTGAAACCCTCCTTGTTGTAATTAAATGCAACTTGCTCCTTTTCCTGCTGTGTGTTTTCTTCCAAATAGAGCTGGAACTTGCTGGGATCTTTCAGTGGAGAGGACGCTCAGTCTCTTTTGCTAAATAATAACCTAAGTCTAGGAACACACACACCTGTTTAAACACATCCCAGATGGCAAATATTTGGGAATCTTTTGGATTTTTTGCATCTTCAAAATATGATGGTGTATTTTCACATCTGTAACTTCTTGGGATTTTTTAGCTGCTCTGGTGATTTATATCCATGCAGCCTCTTGTTTTGTTTTCTGCCACTTACAGGGGTGCCATTAATCTCTAAAATCTTGTTCACTTTGGCCTGGTTTGGGCAGAAATAGCATGTGGGAAGGCACAGGTAAGTAAAGCTTTGGATATGGGCACAGCTCCCTGTGAAGAGCTCCTCAAGTGGAAAATAGCATTCTTCTGGTTTTGACCTTAAACTAGGTGCAGTTTAAACTGATGTCCAAAGCCTTTTGCTTTTATGGGCCTGGAACCCAAAAGGGAACGCGGGGTCCGTGCGGTGCCGCTTGCCTCGTGGCAGTTCCCGTGCCCGGTGGCGCGGCCCGGCAGCGCCCTGGCCTGTTGTCACTGCCGTGTTTGCTTCCCACACTAAATGTACTGCCAAATACGGGCAGCCGGCAGCCTCCGGAAAACAAATCCGGGAACTTGGAGCCCCCTGAACGGTGCACGTCAAACCGCAGCCAGACAAGCAGCCTCGCGTGTGGGGTCTCGCCTAAAGACTACCCTGTCTTAGAAGACGTGTAGTGCCCGCTTCCTTTGTTCCCTCTAGCTCTTGGGCCATATTTTCTTAACTGTTCAGCCCACTTATTTTAAATTAGTGTGGAAAAAATGTTGGTTTCTATTCACCAGGGAAGCCTTAGATAGGGAATACTTGCTGTCTTTCTGCACCTGGGCCTTCCCACGGATACTGTGGGAATGCACTGGGGAGCCGGCAGCTACGTGGTACTTGGTGGAGGCAAAATAACTAACCTGGGATCCAGGAGCTCGTCCCGGCAGGAATAGCAGGAATAGGGTAGCCAGAACCGGCGCTCAGAGGGGCTCGTGGTGCGGCGGGCGGCTGAGGTTAGCACTTCTGCAGGATGTGGTGTGCAGTTATTCAAGACGAGATAAGCTGGGACTTGAGTCGTTTTCTTCTTCTTGACGCCATTTCTATTTGTGGTCTCCCCCTCCTGTAAGCGACACGCGATGGTTTCACTCGAATGCAAACACACAGTACTAAAAAATCCTAGAAGTGATAGTTGGTGGGCAAGCACACCGAAACTTTCTTCTCCGTGGGTCTCATTTTCTGTTATTTTAGCAGTTGGTCCTGCCAGATTTGGCTGTTCTGGGCAGCACAGGCTGCGTTACCTGACGCTTTCTCCATCCTCTAAGTGTAAACTTGCAGCCTGTGTGTTGCACCAGGGAAGGGATTATTTGCATGTAATGGAGATTACACTTCTATTTTTTCTGCTGTTAACCACAGCTCTGGAGTTGCTAAATCAGATTAAGTCAGTGACTTCAGATAAGCGCCGTGCCCAGAGGTTTCAGTGAGCCTGAGAAAGCGCCTGGCCAGCCAGCGACCTGCCTAATCCTTTCTTTAAAGTTATTTTGTGACTTCTGTCCGAAATACAGTTAAATCAAGTTTCCATATGAGTTTAGAGTGTAAATTTCCCATGCTTGGGTTTTCACTTCTCATTTTTTTCTGGGAGCGTTTTAAATTTAAAAACAAGCTCTGACTTTTGAAGGTAGGACTGAAACTGGAGTGCTTTAGCTATGTTTAAACAGGCTTATTTTCTTTAATGAGGCTTTTCGTCTTTTTGCTGCTGTGCAGGCATAGGAAGGGTTGTCTGTGCCTTGTAATGATCCTCGTGCATCTCTAACTTCGGCAAGATGCAAGAGCATCTGCGGCCTGTGAAGCTGCGCGGCCTGCTTGGCTGCTGACTAGCACAGCTGCCTGGCAGGCCCCTTGCTGTCACGTGGATGTTTTCTCCCCGTTCTGTGGCGAGAAGGTAGCTTTGGCCTCGGCGTAAGGTAACTGCAGCTGTTTGCACGTGAAGCACACGGGCTCAGCGTGGGGCTGGGCAGCAGCTGCTGCCACCGGCTCCAGCTGCAGGCCCTCTGGGGAGGCCAAGGCCTCCGTGTGTCCCTCCGGCTTTTGGGCACCACCACCACCCCTCTCCTGAGAACGGAGTTACAAAACAGCCAGCCCAGAAACCTGGATTTGATCCTGCTTGTGTAAGCGCTGTAATCCAGGAGGCCTGGGAGGCAGATTCGTGCCCCTTCCCTGCCTCCAAACCTGCCTCCAAACCTTTGGGGCTGGCTTAGGAGGAGTGGCTCTCACAGGGGCCCAGTGCCCCTGCCCTCCCTCCCTGCCTCCTGCTCTGCTTCCCCTTTGCATTTGCTTTTTGTCACTTTAGCTTTTATTCTGTGCCACTTTGCTTCTGTGCTGTTTAATTTTGGCCATGGATTTTGCAAGAGCCCAGGGGAAAGCAGAAACAAAGCTGGGTTTGTCTGGCAATTTCTCGCAATCGTCTGCAGCCCCACGCAGGAGCAGGGCTTGGCGGCCGCTCACCGAGGTTTACCTGGAGCTGTGGCACCCCCCGAGGGCATTTTGGATTTGATGCATTTCCTCATCTTGCCCTTTGAGCAGTTCTTTAAGGCCAAGGCCACTAGCAAGCTGTGTCCCAGCACGCGCAGCCAGCCTGTCCTCTCCCGTGTCCGTGCGCAGGGAGACGGGCGCCAGTGGCGGGTGACTGAGCTGGGAGCAGGGAATCGGCAAAAGCAGCTTGGCCCAAGGTGCCCGAGCCCCATGAGGTGCCTGAGGCCGGTCCCTCGAGCTCTGGATGATCAGGTGGGCGCTTTTCCAGATGGGAGACGTCCCAGGAATGAGGGCACGGTGGAAACGTAGTGGCCAGGTTGCCCTGGTTCTCTTCTTGCAGCGACTTGCTCAACACTCAAACGCTGCAAGACGGAGGGGCGCAGGGGGCTCGGCTGTGGACACCCCAGCTGCCCCCAGAGCATGGAGGGACGTTGGCTTGACCCAGCTCCTCAGCAAGATAATCCTGCTTGGTTTTTCCTTGACACCCTTCCAGATGCTGTAAGCTGTCCTTTGTGCAGCTCGTGCACCCTTTAATCAGGGTTCAAGCAGCAAGGTCTTAAACGCTGGCTCTCCAATGAAGTGGGGCTGGGCGGCCCAGCCTCCAGTCCGTCTGCGCTTACCAGGGCGGGCAGAGGGGTGAGAGGAGCAGAAAGGCCCTCGCTCGCTCTCCCAAATGAGTGCGATTTGATCTGCACAAAACAGGTAACCCTCGTCCCTGCCCGGCCAGCGGGGAGTGCAGTGGGGATGGGACAGGGTGGCACCCTGCTCTCATCATCATCATCATTCTCCTCCTCATCATCATCTGAGTGCTGCAAAAACTCAACTTCTTGTTTCACTGCAGTTGTCCAAGGCCATGGCACTGCTAGGCCGCATAAGATGGGGCTTGGCGCAAGATTAGCCATCGTTTTGCTAGCACGTGTTGCAGATTTCAGTGGGAGTCGATTACAGCTCGTTAAATCCACCGCGTTTAATCCAGAAAGATAAATGGCACATTTTGTTTTGTGTCCTAGGCTTAGCCCTGAGATTAGACTGCAAGTTTGGATCGCAGAGTGCGGCCTGGCGCTTCACAGCCTCGACTCACCCCAGCTTTTGGCCTCGTGCCAGAGGAGATTTCACTCCTGTTTAGGAGTGAAATCTCTGTGCTCCAGAGCCAGGTCCCAGCATAGAGCCAAGAGGTCACCCTGGCCCTGCTGGGTGTCCCCTGCACCTCTAGAGTGTCCACGCTGCTGCTGGAAGCAGCTCCCATCCCTGCCTGCGCCAGGGAACTGCCCTGGGGACGCACATCTGTATCCCTCCCCTAAGCGGAGCCCATCCCTGGCGATGCCCAAAGCGGCGTCGGGCAGCGACGTGTGGCCCTGCGGAGCGGAGCTGCCCCGCGAGGCAGCGCTCGCTTGCGCTCGGGAAGCTACAGCCTGTGCCTGCAGCGTGTTAAGCAGTTAGTCTCTTTTATTACAATAAAGAGCAACAGGTCCAAGGATTTGTGTCCTTGCTGAGGCTGGGCAGTGCTGATGATGGGCGCAGCGCTGGGGCCTCCCCTCTCTAAGGTTCCCTAACAGCGCAGAGGCAGCTCCGCGTCTCGGAGGGAGCTGAATGCTGAAGTACCTGGAGCAGCCCAAGCCAGATGAGAAAAAGCTGTTTAAAGCTGTGTAAAATGATCTCACCACACTAGTGTTTTATCCGTGTGTGTACGTGCTCCCTGGCGGCAGGGCTTGTCCTGGCTCGTCTCCCTTTGGCCACAGAGGCGGGTCCAGACGCGCCGAGCTGCAGGTGAGGAAGAAGCCACATTCCCCATGCAAGGCTGGCAGGAAAGTTCAGCTTCAGGTAGGGCAGTCCCTGCAAGGGGACAGCCCAGGGTCTGCGGGGGTGTTAGTGCTCTGCGAGCAGCGCTGCCCCCTTCAAAGAAGCCAGGATCCATCCTGATCTTTAGAAGGGGCTTCATCTCGTTATGCTCTTGCGTAACGCTGTGGTGGAAAGTGCGCCGTGTTTATACAAACCCCGCAAAGATCCTGCCTGGAGGAAGATGCCTGGGCCAAATGATAGGAGTGAACGTTTTCACGTGAGAGCTTCAGCTGCCTGGAGAGCATCATTTTCACGAGCAGGAGAAAGCCACTTTGCTCTTTAATCCTGGGAAAGTTTCAGCCACGCTGCCTGCGGGAGGGAGGGCAGGGCAGGCAAGAGAGCCTCCCTCCAGAGAGCCTCCAGAATCCATAGCTCCCCGAGCTTGCTCACTGCCTCTGGATTTAAATCCTTAATCCAGGCGGAGAACCGATTGCACCTCCTTTCCAAGACATGCAGCACTGGGGCTGCGCTCCCAGGTTTGCGTGCGGAGATCCCGGTGAAATGGCAGGGCTCGTCCTGCGGTGGCACCCGCAGGCGCTTCCTGCAGCCCGCCAACACGTGTCCCAGCATCCGGTGGCAGCAAAAATGCCGTGTTGCTGCATTCTCCCTCCCCAGAGGGGCAGCTCTGGAGTTGCTGCCAAGGAGAGAAGGGGACATGTCTCCCCCTCGAGTGTCCTGTGAGGGGCTGCTCTCCTCTCGCACACGGGCACTGTTGCTTGCTAAAAGCCCAAGCACAAAGGGCGGCTGCAGGTCAGGAAAGCTGCTAAAGGGAATTTTCCTCTCCTCCCAAGGTGCTTTCTGCTTCCTCTGAGTTCTCTTCCTTGCTCTATCCTTAATTCTGTGCTCCAAAGGCAGAGCTGAGAGCATCGGACCGGGTCCTAGGCTGTGCTAAGTCCTCCATTAGGCTCTGCCCTGGTAAACGTAGCAGCTCACAGGTCGTTTGCATGGCAGAGAGGGGCCGAGAATGCCCCTGGGCACAGTGAGATGCTCTGAGGCAGCGTCACTTGGGAAAAATACATAGGAAACCACGGGTCCCTTGCGAGGGAGGGCACACGTTCCTCTCTGCAAACAAGCCTGAGATCCAGGTGGATTTCCCTTGGGCGGCGGCAGTACCACGGGCCTATCCTGCTGCTCCCACACCGGCTTTTCCCCTAGAGAAGCCCCCAAGGCGCCTGTCTAACAGCTGCAGTCCCAGGGCAGGAGCCTCCCAAAAAAGAATCACCCTCCTGCCCCGGCCTGACGGGCACAAAAACCTGCCCGGAACGGCGCGCGGCGGCCGCCAACGGCCGCGCGGCGGAACTGCGCATGCGCCGCGGCCAACGGCCCGCCGGGGGCTGCGCGTGCGCATGCGCCGCGGCCAACGGCCCGCCGGGGGCTGCGCGTGCGCATGCGCCGCGGCCAACGGTCCGCCGGGGGCTGCGCGTGCGCATGCGCCGCGGCCAACGGCCCGCCGGGGGCTGCGCGTGCGCATGCGCCGCGGCCAACGGTCCGTGGGCGGGCCGCGCGTGCGCATGCGCCGCGGCCAACGGTCCGTGGGCGGGCCGCGCGTGCGCAGCCCCGCCCAGGGGCGGGGCGGGGCGCGGGCGTTAGGACCCGGCGCGGCCGCGCGCGCCGCTGTCGCGCGCGCCGCCGCCGGCGGGCGATAAAGGTCCTGTCGGCGGAGCTCTGACGTCACGGCGAGTTAATTTTAAACGCGGACAAGATGGCGGAAGGGGACGCGGCGCGGCG